AGTTGGATGCTCTCTGGGACCAACCCTAACCCATCTCCAAAAGCCATGAAAGGAAGTCCCTGGTGCCCTGCCCATCAGAGCTGAGAATCAGGCCAGCAGAAGGGGTACCCTGCTAATGCCTGAGGGGATGAGAGGGGCAGATGGGGGTCAGGCTCTGCTTCCTGGAAGTCCCAGCTCTGAACCCCCCAGGCATCCTCTGTTAGATGCTAGTTTGCTATTTTCCTCCAGGACTCTGGCGACCGGTTTGGCTGAGGTTGGGGCAGGTCATGTGGAGCTAGGGCTGTTCTGACTTGTTACCTTTTACATGCCCTGTCTGCAGCTCACTGGAGTTGGATCACTGTCCTCTGGGGAAGAGAGAGCTGAGCTTCGGTCCCTGAGCTGTCTCTACACTCGTGCCACTTTACCTCCCAAGGCCAGTGCACAGGACACCATTGTTGCCTCCCCACCCCCATGCAACAGCAACAAAGCTGGGCTGTAGCAGTGTGCACTGTTAATCTTAGCACTCAGGAGGCAGAGGCAGGCAGATCTTCAAGTTCAAGGCCAGCCTGGTCTACAGAGTGTGTTCCAGGACAGCCAGGGCTACACAGAGAAAGTCTGTCTTGAAAAAAGAAAAAACTATTGTGAGTCTCTCGGACTTTGCCTCACGGTCACAAGATGTCTTCCAGAAATCTCACACATACTCAGGACAGAAAGGTTGGACTGAGGGACAGCTCAGTTGAATGCTTGCCTTTTGTGCAGAGCCGAGGGCCTGCTCCCCAGAACCCCTGTAAATCAAGCATAGTGGTACACTCCTACAATCCCAGTAATCAGTAAGAGGTTGGGGAGTTCAAGGTTATCCTTGGCTACTTAGCAAAGATGATAGCCTGGGCTACATGAGCTCCTGCCTTAATAAAAAAGTATAAGGAAAAAAAGATTGCCAAGACCTACTATTGCCTATTACTTGATCTTGTTAGTTGGGAAGAGGAAAGCTGCACAGAGGCCCCAAGACTTCCACTGGGGACTCCTTAGCTCAGATGGGAACATGGCAGGTGGAAGAGTGGTCCTCCACACTCTGTCAGAGAGGGAAAAGATTGTGGGACAGGTGTTATCAGTCAGCCCAGGCCTCCAGAGTACCGGGCTTTCACAACAGCTTTCCATGTCCACCGTCCCCGAGCCTGATGCCATCCAAGCCTGGGGTGCCTGAAGAGATCCACATCCAGCTGTCTCCACTGCAGTGACTGAGGGGTTTCTGTTTGTACTGTTTTGTTGTTTTGGGTGGGGGGGTGACAGTGTGTGTGTGTGTGTGTGTGTGTGTGTGTGTGTGTGTGTGTTCGTGCATGTGCGACATTTGTGCAGAGTCAGTTCTCGCCTTCCACCTTTACCCGGGTTCTGGGGATTGAACTCGGGTCTCTAGGCTTTCAGCACAAGCACCTTTAACCTCCTGAGTCACCACCTTCCTGACCCCTGGGTCCAGAAAGGTCTTCAGAAAACTGGCTTGCTCTAAGATGCTGCCTCTCATTTCCTTGTAGTGTAGTCCCTGGTCACTTGGTCCCGTCGCTGGGTCTCTAGCCTTTGCTGGCTCCTGGAGCAGGATTTCCCCACTGGAACAGGGGATCCTCCACAACGCAGGGATGACATCATAGGCTAGTAAGATCTGATGGTCATTTCAGGCTTGTGCCAAGGGCTCTGCCTCCAGAGCGTCATGACATGTGAGAGTTATAATTATCCACTGGTGGCAGCAGGGCTACTGAGCACTAGCCAGCCCCAGCCCTGCCCCTTGTCCTTCTCAGGCCCGCTGGGAAGCCTGTCTGTGTCTACCCCATCAAGGCTGACATTGCCAGCTGGGTGATGGGGCAGCCCAAGCCTGAAACCTGCTCAGCTGCGAGCTTGAGTCTCCTTTTGCCAGGTGCTGCTGGCCCATTCACACACAGTTTTAGACAAACTGTAATCAGCTGGTTAATTAGCTAGGCCACAGACTAGCTGAACTATGGCCAACAGCACCCCACTCCAGCCTAGAGGATGGGTGTCAAGGGGGGTTCCCCTGCTCCTGAGGTCTAATTTTGAGTCTGCCTGGTCTGGCCATGTGGTCCTGGGCCATGGGATGTGCAACACTGCGAGGATCCCACCTTCCCAGCCTTCGCAGCAGGGGACCAGGGCCTCTTCTGACAGCGATTGCGGGGTTAGATTGGGGTCTGGGAGTTGGCTTGGCAGCAGGAGCCTCAGTCCCCTCCAGCTGAAAACCAGGCTGATGGATAAAGGGGTGGTGCCTATGAATGACCTTAAATCACCCAATCTAGGGGAATCCCCGCGAGAGCCGTAGCAGGCATGGCAAAGGCCAAATGAACTTCGTGATTAGTGATGCGTGAGGCACTTGCCATCATTCAAAACATAGCCCTGAGCCAAGCGTGGAGGGTCAATGCTTGTAATCCCAGGACGTGGGAGGCTGAGGCAGGAGGATAAAAAGTTAAGGGTTTGGCCCCGGGCGACATAATGAAACCCTGTATGAAACGTGGCAGGGAGGGGTGGATTCTTCAATTGACAGTAGCTGTAGCTGTCACTTCTGGACCTTTGTACCGCACCGTCCTCCACTCCCCACGTGGTGCCACCGGCCGCGCTCGGTCCTTTCTGCCCTCTTTGTCCCCTACTCAGTGCCTGCCCACCTGGGCAACTGTGCCTTATGGAGACGCCCTACTACGCAGACCCATTCACCCGCCGCAGCTGCGGATGTCTGTTTCCCACTCGTGGCATCCCTGGCCCAGAGTCGCAGCCGTTAGTTCGGTCATGTGTGTTCAGAGAAAGGCAAATCGACGCGCAGAGGGTGGTGGCACGTGGAGCCCCTGAACAGGTGCAAGGGCAGGTGATGCAGAAACCCCAAGGAGGCAGGAGGAGCGGGCGGGGTGCAGGCACCGTCCTCCAACCGCCAGAGTTACAGACGAGGAGGCTCCGCCAGTTCCCGGGGTCACGCCCGCGCTCGGCTCTCGCATGTTCTGTGATCCCCTCCCCCCTCCCGCCCAGGCAGCAGCACGTGCCTGCGG